GCCTTTCTCATCTCCTCGTTTTAAAATTATATATATATAATTACATGGATTATATATTATTATATGGATAATATATATTATATAGATAAGATATATATATTATATGGATAATATTCATACATATGTGTGTGTATATACATATACACACATACACACACACGTACACCACCCATTGCCGTGGAGTCAATGCCAAGTCAGCGACCCTGTAGGACACAGTAGAACTGCCCCATAGGGTATTCAAGGCTGTAATCTTTATGGAAGCAGATTGCCACATCTTTCTCCCATGGAGCAGCTGGTGAGTTCGAACCACTGACCTTTTGGTTAGCAGCTGAACGCTTCACCGCTGCGCGACCAGGGCTCCATACGTGTGTGTGTATGTGTGTGTGTGTGTTTCCCATCCCCATTACCACTGAGTTGATTCCGACTCATAGCAACCCATAGGACAGAGTAGAGCTGCCCCATAGGGTTTCCAAGAAATGGCTGGTGGTTTTGAACTACTGACCTTCTGTTTAGCAGCCAAGCTCTTAACCACTGTGCCACCAGGGCTCCTATACACACACATACACATATATACCAAGAAGAAACATGCACCAATATAGACCATATTATTTTGGGCCATAAAACAAACCTCAACACATTTCAAAAAACCGCAATCATACAAAGTGAATTATCTGACAACAAAAGAGTTAAACTTGAAATCAATAACGGAAAGAAATCTGGAAAATCCCCAAGTAGTTGGAAATGAAACAACACGCTTCAAAATAACCCATGGGTCAAATAGGAAGTCACAAGGGAAATTAGAAAATATTTTGAATGGAATGAAAATTAAAATAAAACATATCAAGATTTGTGAGATGCATTTAAAGTAGTGCTTAGAGGAAATTTTATGGCATTAAGGGCTTATCTTAGAAAAGAATAAAGGTCTAAAATCAATGGTCGAAGCTTCTACCTTAAAAAACTAGCAAAAGAAGAGCAAATTAAACCCAAAGCAAGCAGAAGGAAGAAAACAGAGAAAATCAAAAGCTGGTTCTTTAAAAGAGCAATAAAACTGAGATCTCTCTAGCAAACTGATCAGGAAAAAACAAACAAACTATAAATTACCAATATCAAGAATGAAATAGGGGATACCACTATAGATCCTACAGACATTAAAGGATAATAATGTAATATTATGAACAACTTAATGCCCATAAATTCAACAACCTAGATGAAATATACAAATTCCTTGAAGGCAGAAACTACCAAAGTTCACTCAAGAAGAAATCAATACCCCGACTAGTCCTGTATTTTATTTTAAAAATTGAATTCGTAATTAAAAGCCTTTCAAAAACAACAACAACAAAAACAAAAGAAAAAGCCAAAAATCCAGGTTCAGGTAGCTATACTGGCAAATGCTACCAAACATTTAAGGAGCAAATAATACCAATTTAATGTAAACTCCTCCAGGAAACAGAGAAGAAAACACTTCACAACTAATTTTTGTGATAAGCATACCAAAACCCGATACCAAAACCAGATAAAGGCATTACAAGAAAAGAAAATGATAGATCAATTTCTCTCAGAAACGTGAATGCAAAAATCCTCAATAAAATATTAGTAAATTGAATCCAGAAATATATCAAAATTATGGATCACAACCAAGTTGGTTTATCCTCAGAATGCAAGGTTGGTTCAACTTTTGAAAATCAATCAATGTAATTCACTATCTTAACACACTAAATAAGAAAAACCATGTGATCATCTCAATAAATGCAGAAAAGAATTTGATAAAATTGCACAACTATTCATGATTTAAAAAACAAAAACAAAACCCCTCTCAGCAAACTAAGAATTAAAGAAAACTTTCTCAACCTGATAAAGGACATCTATGTTAGTTGTGGAGCCCTGATGGTGAAGATTAAGAGCTCAGGCTGCTAACCAAAAGGTTGGCAGTTCGAATCCACCAGCTGCTCCTTGGAAGCCCTACGGGACACTTCTACTCTGTTCTGTGGGGTCACTATGAGTTGAAATCGACTTGATGGCACACAAGAACAACACTGTAGTTATGGGAGCCCTGGTTGCACAGTGATTAGCGCTCAGCTGCTGACTGAAAGGTGAGCGGTTCAAACTCTACAGCTGCTCTATGGGAGAAAGATGAGGCAGTCTCCTTCTGTAAAGTTTTACAGCCTTGAAACCTTATGGGTCAGTTTTACTCTGTCCTATAGAGTTGCCATGAGTCAGAATTGACTCAACAACAACGGGTTTGGTTTGGGTTTGGTTATGTTAGTTATACACTGTTGCATCACAAGTTTACTCCAAAACTTAAACAACAAACATTATTATCTTACAGTTCTGGAGGCCAGAAATCCGCCTACAACTGAGCTGGCTGGCTCTGGCTCAAGGTGTCTCACAAGGTTGAAGTTATGTTGTCTGCTGGGGCTACAGTTTCATCTGAAGGCTCAGGGAAGGACTGGTCGGGCGAGAGTGAGGATCCACTTCTAAGCTCCCTCACATGAGTATTGGCAGGAGTCACTTCCTCATGGACTCTTGGACTGAGGGCCTCAGTTCTTCTCTGGCTGTTGGTCACCCTCAGTTCCTTGCCAGCCCGCAGTATGGCATCAAGTTCCCCTCAGAGCAAGTGAATGAGAGAGCACGAGAAACACCCAACGTGTAAGTCACAGTCCTTTTGTAACCTAATCTTGGAAGTGACATTCCCTCAATTTTGCCATATTCTATTCCTTAGAAGCAAGTCACTAGGTCAAGCCCACACTCAAAGGGAGAAGATCACACAAGGGCATGAATACCAGGAGGCAGGGATCATTAGGGGTTATCTTAGAGACTGCCTGCCACTGCACGCACAAAAAACCCATGGCTAGTATCATACTTAATGGTGCGAGACTGAATGGTTTCCACCTAAGATCTGGAATAAGATAAAGACGTCTGCTCCTATCACTCCTATTTAATATCATACTGGAGGTCCTAGCCAGTACAATAAGGCAACAATAAGAAATAAAAGCCATAATGGTTAGGAAGAACTAAAACTGTTCCTATTTGCAAATGACATGAATACCCCAAAGAAGCTCCAAAAATACTCCTAGAACTCATAAGTGAGAAGACCTATAGATGGCAAATAAACACATGAACAACAGTTCAACATTAATCACTGGGGAAATGCAAATTAAAACTATGAAAGGCCATTACACACCTACTGGAATGGCTAACAAAAAAAACTGACAATATCAAGTGCTGGAAAGCATGGAAAGTAATTGGAACTCTCATACATTGCTGGTGGAATGCAAAATGTCACTTTGGAAAATATTTTGACAGTTGCTTACAATGACATACTTATTGTACAACCCAGCAGTTGTCTTCCTAAGTACTTAACCAACAGAAATGAAAACATACGTCCATACAAAATGCCATGTATGAATGTTTATAGCAGCTTGATTTATAATCGTCAAAAACTGGAAACAACTCAAATGTTCTTCAACTGGGAATGGATAAACAAAACTATGGCATGCCCATACAATGGAATACTACTCAGCAATAAAAAGAAATAGACCACTGACAAACGCCAACAACATGGATGAAGCTCAAATGCGTTATACTAAGTGAAAGAAGCCAGACTTAAAAGGCTATATACATAATGTATGACTTCATTTATACAACATTCTGAGAAAGGCAAAATTATAGAGACAGAAAACAGATCTGTGGTTGCCATTCGCAAACAATTTCTGGAAGGTTCACAGATTACCTCTAGCCCATCCACGGACCCTATCTATATGGTACTCAGTTTTCAAGGCAGCTGTCAACCCCTCTCCCTCCAGCTCCAGTTCCTTCCTGAATCCTACTTACATTTACATCTAGTGGCATGCTGCTTGGTACAGAATCGGTCCCTGTTTCATAGAGAATGTGTTAATTCTCCCTCTTCAGGTATTGCTTGAGATCACCCACCTCAGCACTGGGCATATGGAATTGGGTGGATGATAAGTGTTAAGGCAGTCTGCCCGGTGACAAATTACCTTATCTCATAATTTCCCCAGGTCTAACAACTTCCCATCACTGTGCTTAGACCTGAGAGAGTAGAAGCCAAATGGGAGAAGGATGGGAATAAGGAACCTAAAACAATTAACGCAGGACCCTGTAGGCCACCACCTCCCCTCTTAGAAGGCTGCGACTAGACTGCCTGCCTCAGAAATCAGTGGTCAAGGAGCCTTTCCACCACCACCCCTACAAGCAAGTACCGACGTTAATTTCAGCCATCATGTCTTCCTCCTCTTCCATTTTCCTCTCTCCCTTCCTGCCACTGATACATTTGTTCGTTCATTTCATTCATTCACTGGATGGTACAGCGATGATCATGACACACACAAAAACTTCAGGGAATACATTTGAGAAAATACAGTTATTACAAAATGTAGAAAGGGCCATGCCCGGGAAAAGTGCAGACTGCATAGAAGTGGTTCCTAGCACCCGCGTCTTCCAAGCTGATGCTGTTATAGCTGCGTTTTTCACCACCTGCGGGAGTTTGCAATCCTGAAGCTCTCCTGTCCTGGTGGGGGGACGTGCAGGGACCCGGGCCCACTCAGAACAGCCTTCCCGGGGCCCGAGGGCGGCCCAACTGAGCCCTTCCTCGCAGCAAGGACGGCGGCCGGGCCCGCGCGGGAAGCCGGGGCGCTGTGGCCCCGCCCAGGCCGACCCGGGGCGGGGGCCGGTTCCCATAGAGACCGCAGACCAGGCGGGCGGCGAGCACAGCCAGGCCAGACACCGCGAGGCGGGAGCAAGGTCGGGCTCGGCAGCCGCAGCGCCTTGAGTCCCGGGCCGGGAACCCGCGGGCCGAGCTGCCACGTGGCGCCGCTCTCTGCGCGGCGCCGGCCGGGCGACGGTGGGAAGCCCTGGCGGCGTCTTCCCGTGGCCGCGCGGCAGCAGTAGAGATAGAACCTCGTCCTCCGGCGGCAGGAAGGCGCTGACGTGCTCCCCGCAGTGCCCGGGTCCGCGCCCCAGGCGCGGGCGGCAGAGGCAGAGGGCGCGGGGCGGGCCCTCTTGGGGCTGGCCGCCACCCCCACAGGGAGCCGGGAGGTGTCTTCTTGCCGAAGGGAAATGAGACCCGAAATTAGAACCGGGGAAGCCCTTAGCCTTCCCGGTCTTCCAGCCAGCTCATGTGTCTTGGATCGGATGAACTATAACATTAAAAAGATTATCTTACAACACGACTTGTTTTAGGATGAGAGGTTTTATTTTAACTTGCGGGGTATGTCACAGGCGATAAAAATTGGGTACCTGGAGACAGCTAACTCTAGGATGTCATCCTTGATCGCGTTGCCATTGCCTAGGGGTTGAATTTAAGGACATGGGTCCATTCCTAATTCTTTAACAAGTGCCTCGTTCTGTTCCAGGTCCTTGACAAAGACCCGTTGTTGAGTGGGGCTCTTGTGCAGTCCGTTCACTCCCATATTTTATAAGCGGCATTTTCAAACTATGTGAAGACTAACTTTAGGAAGATTTATTCCTTTGTGATGGAGAAGTATGAAAAAATTGGGAAAATTGGCGAAGGATCCTATGGAGTTGTTTTCAAATGCAGAAACAGGGACACGGGTCAGATTGTGGCCATTAAGAGGTTTCTGGAATCAGAAGACGACCCTGTCATAAAGAAAATCGCCCTTCGTGAAATCCGCATGCTTAAGGTAATTCATTGATTCTTTTAAGTGAATTTTCAAGGATTAAAGAAATGCAGTAAAGTGAGTCGCGTTGTGTTAAATGCATGTCTTGAGAAGTGGTTACATCTCCTTCCTTCAGGGACTTTTGTCCTCAATGACACACATGGAACGTCTGTGCACAAGCCACTCATTACATAATGAACTAGGAAGCAGAGATGTAAGGGTAAGGTGAAAGGAGCAAATGTCAGGGTATTCACTTTGAGATGTTATGAATATTTTAATTTTCTTCCCAGCAACTTCTCTCCCACATCACCTGTAGATCTGGAGTTTGAAGAGTCATCATACTTTAATAGTACAGGAACTTAAAACAACTCAAGTTTTCTAGCACTTGTGATTTTCAAACTTCTAGGCTGTTTTCTATTGAGGTCTCAGTCCTTTAAGAGAATTAATCATTCACCTGTTTTCAAACTGGAGGAATCAGATTTTCATTACACCTCATGTTTATCTACTGGTGAGCATCCTGCCTCTTTAGAAGAAAGGCTCTTCTTAAAGAAGTGAAATTAAATTGTCACTTTTAAAATGCTTATCCGTTAACTCTAGGAGACCAGATCTCAGAGGGAAAAAAAATTTGTTTATTACAAATTCCTTAATGGGAAGAGCCTTCTTTTTTAAATTTCTGTGAAGATGAAATCCAAATTGCAATGTGGAATGTGACATGTAATGAATACAGTGGGGCTTAACTTTTTTCCAAACAGTTATGGCCCCTGTGTTCTGACAAAACCAAAAAAACAAACCTGTTGCCATCGAGTCGATTCTGACTCACAGCAGCCCTATAGGACAGAGTAGAACTGCCCTATAGGGTTTCCAAGGAGGGGCTGGTGGATTCAAACTACAGGCCTTTTAGTTAGCAGCCAAACACTTAACCACTGCACCACCGGGGCTCTGTGTGACTGAATTCTTTGACAAGGGAAGAACAACTGAGTGAGAGATGAATAAAACACCCAGAGGATGACTCTTATCCTGGCACCTCCACTTTCTCCAGGTCTCTCTAAAAACTTCCTTTTTCCCATGAATTAAGTTTGTGGGGTCATCTCTGGATAAGCACCCTGAATGGGAGGTAGCGGACTTTGGATAAATTCAAATGGGTGGATAATAGGAAAACTTTCTCTATTTGAGTTGGGGATGTTCTTTCTTAATAGGGGTGTTACTTATTCTGAGAAGACATTTCCAAAGCCCCCCAGTGAAGTGCTAACCTAGGAAGATGTCTTAGTTATCTAGTGCTACTATAACAGAAATACCACCAGTGGGTGGCTTTAACAAACAAGTTTATGCTCTCACAGTTTAGGAGGCTAGAAGTCTGAATTCAGGGTGCCAGCTCTAGGGGAAGGCTTTCTCTCTCTGTCGGCTCTGGGGGGAAGATCCTCGTCATCAACCTTCCCCTGGTCTAGGAGCTTCTCTGCTCAGGGACCCGGGGTCCAAAGGGCACGCTGTGCTCCTGGCACTACTTTCTTGGTGGTATGAGGTCTCCCTGTCTCTCTGCTGGCTTCTTTTATATCTCAAAAGAGATTGGCTCAAGATACAACCTAATCTTACAGATTGAGTCCTGCCCCATTAACATAACTGCCTCTAATCCTGCCTCATTAACGTCATAGAGGTTAGGATTTACAACAATAGAATAATCACATAAGATCACAAAATGGTGGACAGCTACACAATACTGGGAATCATGGCCTAGCCAAGCTGACACACATATTTGGGGGACACAACTCAATCCATAACAGAAGAGGTGAGACCAGTGTTGTTTGCCCATCCCACCGCCTTGGTGACTCTCACCTACCACCAGCTCTACATTGGGAGAGTGTATCACCATTTCTTTTGGGCTGATGGACATTTTTTCACTTTCTCAGACTTTCCCTAGAGGAGATGATACCTGCATTTCAAAGGATTTATTTACTGCAAAGAAAATCTGTTCCTAGCAGAGATAACTTTCTCTGATTCTGAAGGTCACCTGTGAATGCCTTTCTTAATCCTCTCACCAGTCTGTCAGTACTACCTTTACAGGTATATCTCCTTGAATTAATTAGGATGGGAACCTTGCCTCTCTGTCTCTCTCTGTACCCCTGAAGCACACTACTTGGCACATAGTAATCCTCCAATAATGTTATTGTGGGATTGAAAAAAAAATGTTAGCAAAATAAGCTCTTAGGAAACGCAAGTATTTCCAATAAATTAGGAAGTCAAATATGTTCTTTTGAATAACTGAATATTGATGTACTCTAAAGGGTAGAGTCATTTACACAAGAGCCTGATTTCAAAGCACACAGCACCTGACTCCACAATCAAGTATACCAGTGTAGACATCCCTGATCTGTATAAGGTGGTGGGGCTTGATGATCAGTAGAGTCTGTCCCTTCAAGCTCTAACTTTTCAGAACTCTGTGATATTCCTAACACTTAATAAATATTTGTTGAATAAGTGAATTGAGAGAATGTGAAGTCATAGTTTCTCCATTTATTTATTCAGTAAGTATTTATGGAGCCCCAATTGTGCCTAAAAGTTTATGCAAAGTTATATGCCCTGTCTTTCAGAGGCTTGCCTCTTGGAAGGGAAGTAAGATGAATTTCCCAACCTAATGGACTGGATTCCTAGTGGGCAGGGCCTGTGTCATTCACCTTGTGTTCCCTGTGCATGGCAAGAATTCTCTAAATGCTTGTTGAATAATGAAAATAAATTGTTTGCAGGCACCTTTGAGCTAGACCTTAAACGGTTTAGGGAGGCACAAAGTGAGAGATAACGTATTCAGAGCCTATCCAAACCAAACCCAAACCCGTTGCCATAGAGTCTATAGTCTATCCTAAAAAAAGGTGCATAAGCAGAAAGCACAACCTATTGAGGGAACACAGGGAATAACCCCCAAATCTAGGCCAGGATGCCTGCTGGGTGCTAATAGGCCAGGAAGAGAAGGAAGCCAGAGTCTGGTAGGAGGGAATATGAAGAACTTTCTGGAATACAGGTCTGGCCCTGGAATAAGGAGTGGTTAACACATAGCTAAAGAGCCCTGGTGGTACAGTGGTTAAGCACTTGGCTGCTAACCACAAGGTTGATGGATCGAACCCACCACCTGCTCCAGGGGAGAAAGATGTGGCAGTCCGATTCCATAAAGATTTACAGCCTTGGAAACCCTATGAGGCAGTTCTGCTCTGTCCTGTTGGGTCACTATGACATGGAATCAACTCCATAACAATGGGTACTGTACTGTAGCACATAGTTAAGGAGCCCTGGTGGTGCAGTGGTTAAGCACTCGGCCGCTAACCAAAAGGTTAGTGGTTCGAACCCACTAGCGGCTCCTCGAGAGAGAAGACCTGGAGGTCTGCTCCTATAAAGATTAAAGCCTAGGAAATCCTATGGCAGTGGTGTCATGGGTTGGTGTTACCCAGTATGGTAACTCATGATGTCACCCTCCCCCATGGACCTCCTCCGGTACTAGACCATACAGAATCCTTAGTAATGTTTTTGTAAAAATGTTACTTCTGTATATCACTCCTTCTTTTCCTTTCATTACTACTTCATTCTCAAAAACATTATTGATACAGATTCACAAATACTAATTAACAATATTGTAGCTAAAACACAAGAAAATTTGACAAAATCAATGTCTATAAAAGATTTAAAAAGTAAATTAGCATAGAGTTTTAGCCTTGTAGTTGGATTTATAACTAACTGCAGGGTTATTTTTATAAAAAAATAATGAATTTCTGCTGAAATACTGCACAAAAATTTTATAGACAATTATTTTGGTGTCACCCCCTCTGACAGTGTGACCTGGTTCAGTCTGCACCCCCCACATCCCGTAGTGATGCCACTGCCCTATGGGGCAGTTCTACTCTGCCCTGTAGGGTCGCTGAGTCGGAACCAACTTGACGGCACACAACAACAACAGCACATAGATGGAGTCCCTGGGTGGTACAAACATTTAATGCACTTAGCTGCTAACCAAAAGGTTGCAGGTTTAAGTCCACCCAGAGGCACTTCAGAAGAAAGGCCTGGTGACCTACTTCCAAAAATCAGCCATTGAAAACTCTGTGGCACACAGTTCTACTCTGATGCACACGGGATCGCCGTAAGTTAGAATCGACTCAACAGCAACTGGTACTTGTAAGCACACAGCTGCACTTTGGTTCTGGGTTGTATGGGGTTTGGGGCCTGACTCCAGGAAATACGTTGTAGTCCCTGGGAACAGGAAACTGGTGAGGTCTAGCAAGTGTTTTAGGGTCTTATCTGACAGGACTTCAGCACCCAGGGGATGGAGGAATAGTAACCTGTGAGAGAAGCACAGTTAGGTGGGCCCAGGGGAAGGTTGCAGCTTAGTGGCTCAGTGAGTTTTTTGGGTTTATCCTCGGCACATTGCTCACACAGCTGGGGCTCTTAATTAAACCTACTAAGATCAGGAAAAACATAGGAACTAGGAGGGCCAAGACTGAAGGTGCTTCAGTGACCTTAGCCAAGCCAGGTGAGGGCAGGCAGGGGCTGACTCCCTTACGGGAAAGAATTCAACCCTTTTGCATAATTAGAGTTCAAACATATAAAGATATATTGGATGGTATTGGAAAGTGGGATGATCATGACAGAAGCAAGACTACAGAGAGAGACAAAGTCCCTGAAAGAAAATCACCTTAAATCAAGAAGTGTGGTATGATAGGCTTGAGTCATCACAAGCCCTATGGTAAGAAGGGGAACTGGTTTTGCATAAGGCAGGTGGCTGTACTTGAACCCAACTCAGGTCCCTGGGGAATATCTGTGTGCCCAAGAAGGAAAGGGCTGTGTGGTTCAAAGCAAAACAAACACAAACCAAGCAACCCAGAAGAACTATTACTAAGGTCCCAAGCCTCTGTGCTGCTGAACCCTCTCTCTGTGGAAAGAAAATGGTAGCACTATTAGAAGGGGAAGGACAGAATTCCAGGCAGAAGGGGCAGAAAGAACAGATGCTCCCAGAGGAGCTAGAGGTCAAGATCAGATCATGAGTTGCC